TGAGACTGATTTATGCCAAAAGGAGTCGGTGCTACTTTTAATTTAAGATTGCTTTTAAAAATTGCTGAAAAGTACAAAACACCAAGTATTAAACATGAGCTCCTTACATTTTACAGGATTTCAACAGTAAAATGTAACAATTATAATTTGGTTGCTTTTAAAATAGCTGTTAATCAGGTTGCAAGACCCATTGTTCCTAAATTTTTGATAGTTGGGAGTTTCCATTGCTGCTGCCCCTCATTCTTACTATTTTATCTCCCTATAGAAGTTTCTTTTGACTGGGTTTCTTCAGAAATGGAAATTCCCAAGTTTATATACCCTTTCATTTAGGTCTAGAAGCTCTATTTCACTTTCTGTTATCACTTCCAATTCTAAAGTACTAGGCTTCTTTGAATTCCAGATTGTATGAAATAAATCATAATCATCTAGACCAGTGGTTCTCAACCTTCCTAACTAATGTCACGGCTCTTTAATATAGTCCTCGTGGGTCGCAACCAACAGGTTAAGAAGTGTTGCTCTAGGCCTTCCTCTTCTAAGATGTAGGGCTGCCTTGCAGCTCTAGAGCCACAAGAGTTGGCTCAGCATCCAGGGAGCAGCTGAACGTCTACTCCATTGTCACATGCCATCATCCTTATTGATGGTTGCAGGGTAGACATCATCTCTTGGCAGCTGTAGTTAGAACCTATCAACTTACTTGAATGAGAATTTTTACATTAATAATACTAAGCATTATTCATGAATTTGCTTTGTTTTATTAATATATGATCTGTAAAAAAATTTTGATAGTTGTTTTTGGGGTGGGTAGATACATTTCTGTGTTTATGATTTTATAACTTTAATAACAGTTGATAGGCTTGGTGCCTGTGGCTCAAGCGGCTAGGGTGCCAGCAACGTACACCTGAGCTGGCAGGTTCGAATCCAGCCCAAGCTCGCCAAACACCAATGACGGCTGCAACCAAAAATAGCTGGGCGTTGTGGCAGATGCCTGTTGTTCCAGCTATTTCGGAGGCTAAGGCAAGAGAATCGCTTAAGCCCAGGAGTTGGAGGTTGCTGTGATCTGTGATGCCATAGCACTCTACCCAAGATGACAGCTTGAGGCTCTGTCTCAAAAAATAATAATAATAATTGATAATTTAGCAGAAAATCAATAATCTAGAGTCCTCAAATTCAAGCAATTTATGGATTTTTATTTTTATGATTTCTGATTCTTTACAAAATGATTTGTATACTTTCTTTAGATCTTAAAATTATCTAAATATCTAATTTTTAAATAATTATATGAGGCAGAGAATATTTTTGTATTCTTCTTCTTAATTATACCAAATATCTTATATTCATATGGTCATATTAGTTTGTGAGGGCTGCAATAACAAAGTACCACAGACTGAGTGACTTAAACAGAAATTTATTTTCTTAAAATTCTAAAGGCTACAAATTCTGAGATCAACGTGTTTGTGGAGTTGGTTTCTTCTGAGACACTCTTTTTGGCTCGTAGATGTCCACCTTCTTTCTGTGTCTTCACATGGTCTTCACTCTGTGTACATCTGTGTCCTATTTGCTCCTTCTTATAAGAAGACCCATTATGTTGGATTAGGGCCCACTCTAATGAATTCATTTTAACTTAATTATGTCTTTAAAGGCTCTGTCTCCAAATACAGTTACATTACAATGTACTGGGGGTTAAGACTTCAGCATATGATTTTTGGTGATATTTAAATGTTAGATGATAATTTTAGTTTCATAGTTATAATTTTTATGAGACAATACTAAATATTTAAGTAAATATGGACTTAATGTGTGGAAAAAATTAAACCTCTAGCTATAGTTAGGATATTTTATCTGAAAGGGAAAAATAGATATTACTGAGACAAAGTAATCTATTTTTTTTGTTATTATTATACTGAGAATACAATTTTCTCTGTGGTCTTGATACAATAGCATTTCTGTTAGTCAAATGTTTGATAGGAAAGGTCTTTTGTTATTTTAGTAACTTTACTTTTGTCTATGGTACAAGATACACCTTCTTAAATTCATCTTATCATAAAACTGGAGAAGACCTTCAGAGACTCCCCAGTCCTATGAACAAACCATGTTCTTACAGCCAAAAACATAAATAACACACACACATACCCTACACTACACACCATACACACTTCATTATCCTTTACCAAATGGTTATTTGGGCTCTGAACCAGCAAGGAAATATAAGTTATGAAGGTGAATATTGTATCTCTGGACTAATTAATTCTTCTGAAGTCCTTTTGTTTCTTGAGTTGAATATAGCCTCCTTCTGCTTTCACTTCCTGCTTCTGAGCCATGACTGTGATCTAGTCTAGTAGAAGACTTTGTACTTTGGCATCAGAAAGACCTCTTTTCAATCATGTCTTCACCTGTTATTAGCAGTCTTCTTAAGAAAGTTACATAGGGTGGTACCTGTGGTTCAAAGGAGTAAGGTGCTGGCCCCATATGCTGGAGGTGGCAGGTTCAAACCCAGACCTGGCCAAAAAAACTGCAAAAAAAAAAAAAAAAATTACATAATATTTCTAAGACTCAGTTTTCGCATTTAAATAAAGACAATAACAATCACCTACCTTATGAGGTTGATGAGTGGACTAAAAGTGAAAAAGCCTGGAAGGAGTGCTGAGAATACTGACATAATTAATTTGCCCTTGTAAAGGATAGTTCTGTTCTCTTCAAATTATATCCCACCCAGAATGTTTTTTATGCCAGCTTTTAAATATGTCATATTCTTCTTCCGTTCTTCTTATAACATCAAATAAAATTTTCTTAACTTTTGCTGTTTGAATTTATTTTATTTCAACAATATTGAGTGAAAATCTTACTTTAAAACTCCAGTTTTCTTAGTGATAATTTTTTTATTTATCTGTTTCATAATCAGGAATTTTTTCCCTTTTTAAAATTTCAGAATATTAAGGGTTCCGTGAGTTTTAGTTACATCCTTTGTTATTTGTACACAGTGAGTCAAAGTTATAAGTGTGCCCTTCACTCAGATAGTCTGCACTATATCCAACAGCTGTGAATTTACCACTCCCTTCCGTCCCTAGCTTGATTTTTATTGAGATTTACTTTCATGTGCGCACTTAAGTATTGATTGATTATTTCCAAACTGGTATTAAGTACATGTGCTTGTTTCTCCATTCTTGTGATGTTTCACTTAAAAGAATGGTTTCTAGTTCCATCTAGGTCAGTGGTTCTCAACCTTCCTAATGCCATGACTCTTTAATACAGTTCCTCATGTTGTGGTGAGCCCCAACCATAAAATTATTTACATTACTACTTTGTGATTTTGCTACTGTTATGAATTGTAATGTAAATATCTGATATGCAGGATCTATTAAGGTGACCCTGTGAAAGGGTCAAACAACCCACAGGTTGAGAACTGCTGCTAGGTTGTCACAAAAAATGCTAGACGCCATTTTTTAATGGCTGAGTAGTACTCCACAGTATGCATATACCACATTTCATTAATCCATTCATGTGTTGGTGGGCCCTTGGGTTGTTTCTATGTCTTTGAACTCAGCTGCTATAAACATTCAAGTGTGGGTGTCCTTTTTATAAAAGACCTTTTTTCCTTTGTCTATATACATAGCAATGGGATTGCTGGATCAAATGGTAGGTAATAATCAGGAATTTTTAAGATGATTATGCACCTGTAAAATTTTTTTTTTGAGACAGAATTTCACTTTATCACCCTCGAAGAGTGTCATGATGTCACAGCACACAGCAACCTCCAACTCCTGGGCTTAGGCAATTCTCTTGCCTCAGCCTCCTGAGTAGCTGAAAGTACAGGCGCCTAACATCCAGCTATTTTTTTGTTATTGCAGTTTGGCCGGGGCTGGGTTCGAACCCACCACCCTTAGTATATGGGGCCAGCACTCTACTCACTGAGCCACAGGCACCGCCCACACTTGTAAATTTTTAACAGAATATTATTAACAAAATAAAACAAACAATTTCCTAGATGTGAATTTCCTCACTTAAGAGGTTTTTAAAGGACATCTCTACTGTCCTCTTTGGAGGACATCACAAGTGAAACATCACAAGAATGGAGAAACAAGCACATGTACTCAATACAAGTTTGGAAATAATTCATCAACACTTTATGCACATGTGAAAATAAATCTTAATATGAAAATATTGTTGTAGTTTTTGCTTATCAGAGGTGTCAATGACAGCAGCTCTCTGCTACAATATAAAAAAGAAAAATCAAGTAAATCCAAACGAGCAAGTAGAATAGAATAGGAAGGGAAAAAGTGGGAAACGAATATCCAAAGATAAGAATAAAACCTGAAGAAATTTGTAAATGTTTATGTCATGAAAGAAAAAACTTTTAAAGATTTATTTTTAATAAAGGATACATTTATTTTCACTGTTGAGGATTTTCAACAATTTGGTCATCTGCCAGTGGAGCAGGTGAGGGGCAAAAGGACAGTTAAGAATTACTGAGCCCTCTTTCTGCTTTTTCCAGAGTAGTTTTATTCCATGGTGTTATCACAGCCTGAACTACCTTTGGCAGACCTGGTTCGGGAAACACAAGTTCTCTCCTTCACTCTCAGAAGCTATGCCAATGGGTTCACATTTTAGTAATTAACCATTCTGATTGGCTAGTTCAGAGTAACCAGTTAATTCATACCATGCCATGAGACTCACTAATCTTTTTTTCCTCCTAACTTTCCTATCAGTAGTGCCTAAATGTCTCTATTGACCCTAGCAATCATTCTTTTGCTTTATAATTCTTTCCTCTTATATCTTATCTCTGTCTTAAATCTGTGACTATTTCAAAGCTTTGTATAGCTATAAACATACAACTTATTATTTGTATCAAATGAATATCCTATCCTTAAGTAGGAATATGTTTATGTTTTATAAAAATGTCATTAAAATTCAAAGGAGGAGGTTTAATACATGATTGTGACAAATGGTTGTCTAACTTTTTTAAAGCTTCAAAGTAACTATAAAAATATTATCTTTTTTTAAAGTTGGCCAGGGATACTTTGCCCTGATCCTTTTAAAGGGAAATATGTGACCTATGACCTGGATGGAAACGTTGAACTGTATCACATAGAATTCCTGGGTGATCCCCATTCAAGATCATGGATAGATGCAACATTTGTTGGGCATTATAGTATCACATTAACGGTAGGTACAGTAACATCAATACTTTATTCTCATTGTACTTGTTTTTAATTATGGTCATTTTCCCCCTCTGATCCTAAAATATATATAATTTTTTACTTTAAGATTCATATAAACAAAATAATGTATACTAATTGTTTACATTTAAATATTCATACTTTAAAGAAGTTTTCAAAGAAAATATGGATATAAAATAGTTATGGGGGTTTTAAACTTTATTTTCCTAAAGGCAATATAATAAAAAATAATTGAAGACTTTACATAATTACCTTTTGAAACAATTTTAAGATTATTATCTGGTGATTTTTTTTTTTTTTTGAGACAGAGTCTCAAGCTGTCACCCTGGGTAGAGTGCCATGGTATTACAGCTCAGAGCAACCCCAAACTCTTGAGCTTAAGTGATTAATTCTCTTGCCTCAGCCTCCCAAGTAGCTAGGACTGCAGATGCCCACCATAATGCTTGACTATTTTTTTGTTTCAGTTGTCAATGTTGTTTAGCAGGCCCGGGCTGGGTTCAAACCCACCTGCATTGGTGCATGTGGCTGGCACCCTACCCACTAAACCTCGGGCATCACCCTATTTAGTGATTTTTTAATTCTCTTGAGAAGTTGTAGCCCTAGTTCAGAGGGAAAATTAATTACAGATTGCAACCAACTTTTCATATTTCAAATGGAATATTTCGTTATACTAACTCCTTCAGTATGTCTTTGACTATTTTTAAACTTTAAATTCCACACTACAATTAATGTATAGACTGGCCTCTCAGATTGATGAGAGTAGATGAACTCGACCTGTTTCCAAGCATTTGGTGTATAAATATAAGTCAATATTGAAACTTTCATCTGTAAATCATGCTTTTATTAGAAACCTGATAGAAAGTAGGTATTATAAATGTGAATACATTTGACTTAATTGGGATTATTTCTCTTTATGGTGAGACATACATATTCAGATATAATATATTCATATATATTTAGAGCATGTCATTTAATTCACAGTAAAATGAAACCTGTGGAAATCTGAAGTACTTTAAAATGGGCTTTACTTATACCTTTGAGATAATATAGTATTTTGTACCATTCAGTTTTAAAAGAGCTAGAGAGGAAGACTGTTTTATGTTTTAGTAAAAATATTTAAGCATGGAATAATACCACATAAATCCATTTTGTGGTAGATGTGGGTGGTGCAGTTATCTTAATATGAGGTACCTTCTCTGATGTTTTGGATGTGTTTCTAGACACTTCTGTTGGCAAGCACCAGAAGACAGAAGGAGTGTTCCTTCTGTCCTCCCTTTCTCCTTTCTGAAGAATGGAGAAACCCTCTGGCTGTTCATGAGGTTTACCTTAGAATATAACTAGGATAGCTGAGATTTCCTTGTCCCTTGGACATGAAGATACTCCAACCTATAACCTATAGTTCTATTCCCTGAATTTCCCAGGTATTTGATCTTTTGTGGTCCTCTCTACTCTGGAGCTCCTATATCCTAAAATGCTATCTCATCATTGTGCCATGTTGATCTAGATACCTTGCCTCATAAATAAAGGACTACTTACACAAAAAATAATGTATAGTAGACAATGTAGGAATTCTTAATTTTTTTAAAGAAAGTAGAAGAAGATGTAAATTGTACAAATTATCTGATTCTTTTTTCTACAACTGGGTAAAGAATAACAGATACAATTCTCACTGGCTATAGCAGACTAAATTTTACTTCATAAACTATCTCAACATAATTTTCTCCTAATTTATGTAAACTTAGTTTAACAACTAATTTAATAAATTCAGGATTTTAACTGAGTATGGACTTTTCATATATTTTTCACTGCACATGTTAAGATAGGAGAGAAATAAACTCACCTAGAAAGATATGTATTATATGCATTTATGAGAAAATTGAATATTTTTCAGTTTATATTAGAAGCATTTAATTATTGTCTTTTAATTCAATCATGTTTGTCTAGATATTGGTAGTCAATTTAACAGTCAAAGATTAACATTATTTATGACACTACTGACAATTAATATTATTGTTGACAACACGACAGTATTCAGTCACTATCTAGTCATACAGATAATAGTGTTTTCTCCTAATAAGTAGAACTACTCATTGATACACTAAGATGAGATATACTCAATAAAAAATGTTCAAAGCAGGGCGATGCCTATGGCTCAGTGAATAGGGTGCCAGCCCCATATACCTAGGGTACCGGGTTCAAACCCAGCCCCAGCCAAACTGCAATTAAAAAATGAGGGACAAAAATCCTGTAAGACCTATAGAAAATAAATAGCAAATGACAGAAATCTCTCTTTATCAATAATTACACTAAAAGTAAATGGATTAAATTATCCAATCAAAAGATAGATATTGGTATAATGAATTTTAAAAAACAAGACCTACAGTTCCAGTAATGCTACTTTCTAATTGTAGTAGTTATTGATAATGTTCATCAGAGTGTTTTAGGACCCTACCTTTCTGTTGCAGAGTAGAATTGCACATTTGGCACACATATGGTGGGATTGGGCCAGTGAGTTAGTTATTAATGAAAGTGATGAATGTCATCTCTTTGGCCATTTAACAGCTAGTCAACATCATCTAGAGTTCTTTCTTTCCCTGTGTCACAGTGAATGGTATTGTTTGAGATGTAGGTTTGGATCCTGAATGATTACAATCAGCAAAGTCATCCTGCTAAGATAGGACTGATACGCAATGTGAAGGAGATAAAAGCATTGGTTATGTAAAGCCCCTGGGATTATTCTGACATACACTGATGACAGTAGTGTGACACAGGATGTCACAGTTCTTTGTAACCTGTATCTTTAGAAGGTATATTCCTAAAATTTCACTGTTCTTCAGAATTTGGCCAAATGACTGAGATCCCATTACTCTAATTTCCCTAGTACAGTGATTTTCAACTTGTATGCTCTGTAGCACACAAGTGTGCCATGAGAGAATCTTAGGTGCTCCATGAACATTTTCAAAGATAATTAAATTTTTTTAGAAAGAAGTTGAAAGCACAGTAAGTATATTCTTTTTTTTCTCTTTTTTTTTGATCATAATTAAAGTGTGCCATGGAAGTTTAACTATAGATTCAAGTGTGCCATGAAATAAAAAAAAAAAAGGTTGAAAAACACTGCCCTAATATATAATAGAAATAATGCAACTTATTATAGCATAGTTGCTTATTAAGTAAGTACATTTTTTTTGTATAATGACAAACATATGAGTAGAAGCTACTAACTGATGACTGATACATTGAATATAAACTTAGTCTAGGAAATGTTCTCCTACAAAGGGCTCTGATGTTAGCGTGAACTACAATGACTCCAGTAACTAAAAATTTCTACAAATATTTATAGCAATTAAATATTGAGCCCATTATAGGCCAAGGATTAGGTAGATCTTTTTCATAAGATATTTAAAGTCTCACAGCAACCCCATGAAGGTAGGCATCATCACTATTTGACCTGGAAGAAACTAAGATTCAAGCTATTTGTCTAGCCTAAGGTCAATCATCTTCTAAATGATAGGGCAATGATTAAAATCAAGAAGACTAATTCCAAAGTCTTAATTCTTTATTCTTTGTATGTTATGCCAACTTATATATGCATAAGCAATAGTCTTATTTATAAATGTTATATATATTTAATTTTATTGATATATATTTATTTTTACATGTATATATAATTTTTAATGTTTTTCCATATTTGCACCTACAGTGAGAAAAATTTTTACCTTTTAATTCTTATATACATATTAAATGATAGCAATCTCTAGTAGACTTACTCTTTACTTGCTGCTTGATGTTCCCCTGTGTAGGGCTAGAAACCAAAGAAAACAAGCAGAATTCTTATATTTAAATTGTATTTTCAGTGGTGATTTCACCAGTGCATCTGGATTAACATCATATCATATTTGTGATAGTGTTTTGCATCTAAGGTTCATTACTACATAAATTCTAAGACTGTAATAAGGATTAGCAAATAAGCTTAACGACAGATCATCAGGGCTTAGCGCCTATAGCTCAACCGGCTAGGGCGCCAGCCACGTACACCTAAGGTGGCGGGTTCGAATCCCCAGCCCGGACCCGCCAAACAACAATGACGGCTGCAACCAAAAAATAGCGGGGCGTTGTGGCGGGCACCTGTGTTCCTAGCTACTTGGGAGGCGGAGGCAGGAGACTCGCTGGACCCAGGAGTTGGAGGTTGCTGTGAGCTGTAATGCCGTGGCACTCTACCCAGGGGGATAGCTTGAGGCTCTGTCTCAAAAAAAAAAAAAAAAAAAAGATAGATCATCAGGCAGCATTTTGCTCTTAACGTGATGGAGTGAAACTAGATAAGGATCTGTTGAGTCAATACACTGTAAAAATACATTTGAAAACAAAAAACAAAAACAATAAAACTTGTACCATGTTTCTACTAGCACATAATCTTATACCAATGTGTCTGTAAAATTTTGTTAATGTTATACTAATTCCATATTTGGTATAAAATTTGCTGTAATTTTGGTATGATTATCTTAAGTTTTTTGTTTATTTCTAAAAACTCTTTGGCTTTTGGCCTGGATACACATTCAGGCAATTAGAGTATATTTCCATAACTGTCATCTATTTATGAATAATCTCACAAGAAAATTTTTTGTAATAACATATATTAGGAAAAGAATAGATTTGTCATAGTGACAAATAGTAACTAAAGAGCTAGGCTTTAGAGTAAAGCTTTTGGATTTCAAGGTTGGCTTTGCTGCTTAGTAACGGTTGACCTTAGATGAGTCATTTAACCATTACAAATCCCAAATGCCTCATTTGTAAAACCGAAGTTATGATGGCATGTGCCTCATAAAATTGTTGTGAGGTTAACTGAGATAATACATGTAAAACATTTAGCATAGTGCTTATCATATAGTGAACTTTCAATACATGTTAGTAGTTATTAGTCATTGTAAGTAACAAGTTAAATAGGAAGTTAAATTATTTATTTCCCTTCCCTAGGGAACCACATCTAAA